ACACCCACACCCACACCCACACCCACACCCACACCCACACCCACACCCACACCCACACCCACACCCACACCCACACCCACCCGCACACCCCCACCCCCACACACCCACACTCTCTTCCACGCTTCTTGAAATCTGAACATCATTAAATCACTTTGCTTTCGTACATCAAAGGGAGCTCTTTCTCATCGTCTAGAGCTGTAAGTCTACTTCAATCGAGTTTTGTCAAACACAAAAATAGTTTATTTAAATTGCACTAAGAATGGTAAAAGTTAGTTTATTTTACTCTTTTTATTCGGTAAAAGAATATTCAAAGGTTTGATTTGTGTTTGCATACAATGCATAATAGTCTCCTTTTGAAATAAAAAAAAATGCTTAAAGTTTTATGCTTTTATCGATTTGTGCGACTTTTTTGAATGATCACGAGACTGCTGTTATGTGACAGAGGTTTTCGGACGATCACAAAACAGGAAGTGTTTCTTCTCCTTCTTATTTTAATGTCGGAACTTTTTAAGTGTACAAAAAAGATGAAGCTTTTGAAGAGCTGAAAAGTAGAAAAATGTATTTCTTTATTTCTGAAAGTGCCATTGAATATAATAGAAAAACAGGTTATTTTTGTACCTTGAAAACGAGACATGGCGGAGTTACTCAATGTTGTTCGCTTGATTTTTCTAACTCAAATGTGATATCAATCGGTGTATCATATATTGTAGAACATTGAAAGAAGAATCTTTGAAAAAAGTTCGAATGCAAAGGATAAAATCAATGAGATCTTAATGAGAAATTGACATCACGATATAATCTGAACCCGACAATACATCAATGAAGTAATCGTTTTTAATTCAATTCTTCCTTTCCCTGTGTCATCCTACGTCCCCTTTTCAGAACTTCTACCAACGTTGTGAATCAGACTATACTCGAACAGTTCCCAATCAAAGTTTAGAATCAGACAGTGATATTTTCTATATAATTGGATCATATTACATTGTATAGAACTATAAATGTAATTAAATACGTATTTCAATCAGTGCTGCTTCAGTTTCAAATGTCATCTTTCTCTGAGAAAGTTTTCAAAAGCGGAGACATTTATTGACCAAATCTTATTGTTGATCAACTAGATATTACAGAACCAATGAGCACAATAAGTGGCATAGCCGACACAATAACCGACACACCTGATAACATGACCTACACAGTCGACATAACAGTTGGGCCTACAGCAGAAAGTATGAGAAGTTTGATGCCTGGTAGGTAGACGGCATTTTGTCGTTTCTTCGCTACTTTTCATTCCGAACATCCAATATCGTAGTCCGTTCCGAACATCCGCTTTTCTTCAAAAAATCATCACTTTTAAGATAAAAATATCGGATGTTCGTAATAAGAAAACTACGGATGTTTGGAACGATCATCGGAAAATAACGGATTTTCGTAAAAATTTTTAACGAGTTTTCCGAATATCCGTTGTAGGACTAAAATGTCAATTCCGAACATCCGGTGTCAAAGACGGATGTTCGGAATGATCGCGACGAAACGTTTGGAGGCCAAGTAGACAATGTGTGGATACTACAGAAGACCATGTTATTGGCTTTCGAAAAAGTTAATCTATTCAAATGAGAGTATTCTTTGTTTAGAATTGATTTCGTCTAAATATTCTAGTGTTGAAACCATCCTGTTATTAAATTTATTAGTGATTCACTCTTGTAACTCAGCATCCGTTATAAGTGATTATTACTAACTTTCTTTATAGTCATAATTCAAGATCATTGTGACGAAAAAGGAGAATCGCTTTCCTTTGAATTGATGTCAAAATCTTGGTGAAATAGAGTATATCACCTATCTTTTTAAGTAGCTATTTTGCTCATGATTCTTACTGCTATCTTGGCTATCGTTCGCTAATCATAAAAATCTAAAATGAGTTGACTATAGAAATGTGAGCATGATTTATATATGAATGAAGATAGTCAACTAATGAAGGATTTCGAATCTTGCATAAGATTTTCTCGTTCTTGTTTTCCTGCATCATCATTGGTCAGTCCAATCGATTTTCTCTCAACAAAAGTCTATCTGAATGAGTGATGTAAGTGAAAATTATCAATGTGATAGTATATTGTATAATCATCTAGATAAATGGACATCATATTTCTAGATAATGTTTACCACAAACAGTTCTATGTTTTCGTTCTATTCTACTCACTACACAGAGCACTTATTACAAGAAATCCTTACGTCACAGACACTGTAGGTTTTCAATGTCTAAGGCAAAGTAAAAAGGCCTCTCGTGTAAAAGAGCTCTTCATCTTGAACTCGACATTCCTTCATCTATAAACCATCGTTGAAACTTCAAAAAGAGACATGGATACGTGGTATGTCGAGAGAAATATGTAAAACTATTAACACTAATCATGAAGTTGAAGATAAATTAAAATGAGTTAATGCACAGAAAAGTAAATAAGCATGTGGTCATTTCGTTCGTTCGTACATTAAACATCAATAACTGAGTCTTCGAGATAGAATAAGTTCAGCATTGTATTTTTAGCAAAGCTAAACTGAGTAAAAACAGTAAAAGAGAGCTTCTACTCAATTTTCTGTGAAGGTTGACGAAGGTAACTGTTCGATACAAGTTTGAAAACTAGCCAAACCATACTATTGATCAGTTTTCGTTTAAATTAAACACACAGTACGGTATTCTCTTACAGTTCAACGAATTTAGACTTTCGATAGATTATTTCTTGAGTGTGTGGAAACGGTCTTCTATTGTTCTTCTTAATTTATCTTATTATCGAGATTCAGCATGCAACCCGTTCTGGAGAAGAGTATGGGTGATTGTCTCCTCTTCGAGGATACCCATATTTACACATCATGAGAAAGCCCAGCATCATCACATAATATATTATTTCCATTTTCAAGAAGCTCATATTGTTGTTTAATGCACTGAAGCTTTACAGTTCATCTGAAACTTGTCTTTTCATCTTAGCTTCATGCAATCCTGAGTGCAAGAACGGTGGAACATGCAACAGTGACAATACTTGCACGTGCCCAGATGGTTACACTGGTCCAACCTGTGCAATTCGTATGTGTCAGATTTTTCTTGAATCAACGTCCTAGTTGTGTTGATCTTTCATTCTTTTCCTGTCAATAGAATCCGTTGGTTTATGTACCGATACTGAACTAAGCAACTCGGCCCCCATTCTATCTATCACATTCGGCGTTGGCGTACCACAATATTCGAACGCAGTACCTGCTGACTTTGACTTCACTACAACATACACACAAGAATTCTCGGGTATTGTGCCTGATGGATCGTTCGGTTTTGTGAATTCAGTTCCAGATAATTACGATGCATGGCACGCTGGAGCACATGATCATACGGGTGACGCAGGTGGATACATGTTGTTGGTTAGTGCAAACTATCAACCTGATCAATTTTACAATAGTACAGTCACTGGTCTGATTGTCGGTAGCCATTATCAATTCTCCGTCTGGGTGGCTAATCTTGTTAACTCCGCGTACAATCTCTTGGAGCCAGATGTGTTATTCCAAGTTCGATCTCCATCTGCTGGTAATGCATTACTTGCGCAAGTAGACAGTGGCTCTATACCTGAATACAACAATATGACTTGGACGCAGTACGGCTTGTCATTTGTTGCACCAACCACTTCAGTGGTTCTGTTGATAATTTCAAATGCGCCAGGTGGAAACGGAAACGACTTGGCCCTTGATGATATTCAATTGCGCGGTTGCGTGCCTGAAGGTTTGGGTCGCAATTATATCTTATAATTCTAAAACAAGTCTCGAAAGCAAATTTCTATTCAGCACTGAGTAAAACCAATTCTTTAGATAGACCTGATTATTGACAATGGAAATTTCATCGTATTTCACATTTGAATCCCGCAGAAATTGCGCCAACAGCTTTTTCATTAACGGGGCCCCTTCTCAGAAAAATCGAATTTCGTCCATAAAATAACTTTTGAATTAAGCGTATAGGATTGGTGATTGAAGTGCCTAACTTTAATATTGAAAAAAATTCCGATTTTAGAAGATTTTTTCTAGATCTAGCACAAGTGTCTTAAATTCTCCATCATAATACAATTAAGCAGAACTATGTAAAATCACCAAAAACCCATGAGCTGGTGCTTTTGGTATTAAATGCATAAGTTTGTAGAAGGATAAAGGTTATATACCAAGTTTTGATTCCCTCAAGAAAGATTTCTTTCTCAGTTGATTCTTTCGCAAAAAAGTTCAATATTAACAGTGCATATACTGTGTGTCTGTTTTATACCAAAGTATGAGCTTTCTAACTATTGTCATTACAAAGATATGAATAATTTAACATCACATAAGAAATTTTGAGCTCACGAATGATAGAGAACTGTTTATCAAATTCCTGTGTGCGCTTGATGTTGTTAGTTAAAAATGTCACTTTTATAGCAAAATCTCGGTTAGTTTGATGAATAATGCTTACTTTTCATAGCTATTTTTCTCAATGGAAACAATTCCTCGAATATCATGGTCTTATCCAAGAGACTCATTTTAATTGCGATTATGAAATCAACATTGAAACACGTAAAGAAATGAAAAGCATGGCGATTTAGCGCTTAATTGTGCGAAGGAAGGAAAGACAAATGAATATTATAAAAATTATCATTGAAAAATTACTTTTGAGAGGTCCACTAATGATTACCAGATTGGGCCTCGTAATTATACCTAGTACAGACATTTTTCAATTTTTTGTAGAGAGCTTTATGTAGAATCTCTCTAGAAAGAAATGAACCCTGCACGACAAAATTTTCATAAAATATTCATAAAATATAGATAGTATCAATAGCTGATTCTTCGACGTAGAATCAGTTTATCATTGTATTTTGGGCAAGCGTAGATTGAGTAAAAAAAAGTAAAAGAGAGTTGCTACTCGATTTTCTATGAAAGTCGACTAAAGTATCAGTTCGCACAAGCTCGAAAACTAGCTACACCATACCGTTAATCCGTTTTTCCTTGCATTAAACGCACAATTGGGTATTCTATCACGACTCAAACTGATCAAAGATTCTCGATTGACTTTTTTTCAAAGATTTGTGGAAACGGACGTGCATTTTTCTTACTTATTTTCTCTGATTGTCCAGGTTCAACATGCACCCCATTTTGGAGAATGCCTTCGTCCGATCAAACTACTAATTTCATGTATCTCAATGCAAATACACGTATCAGTGGTGACATTAGTCGCAGTGTTTGTGCATTTTTTCGTGTCAGTAACTTAAATGTTGACAATATCATCGTAGATATCGGCTCAGCCAAATCATCAGGGGTTGGGGGATGTAATAGACATTTTGCATTAGGTATTGCTAATGCGACGCATATTAATCTGTTTGGAATGTGCTCTATGTTTGATAATGTTCTCATCTTCGTTGGACCAGACACACTCTACGACGGTGCTTTTCATCAAATATGTATAACGTATAATTCTACGAATAGAAAATTATGCGCTTATCGAGACTATCAACAACCAACATGTATCACTCGGAATAACATGTCTTACAATACTGCTCTAGGAAATGTACGAATAGGCTGGTGGCCAGATGGTAATCACCAATTTGTTGCGTCTGGGGATGGATTGATTCGATCAGTATCGTTATTTGACAGTGAAATTTCACAGGATTGTGTCATTCAAGAATTCAATAGAGCATTAGCAATGAATACGACAACAAACATAACAGTTTGGTCAAACACCACTGAATCTAACACTTGCAACTACCATGGAAGGTGGCACATGGGAGAATGTGTTTGTGAAATAAAATTTGATGGTCAAAATTGTTCTATGTGCGATCTAGGATACTTTAACTATCCCAATTGTTATCCGTGTAGTGAGTGTGAATCTCATAATGGAACCTGTGATTATGAAAACGATACTTGTATTTGCGAAGATTACATCCGTTTCACGGGTCTATTCTGTACAGAATGTCAGCCTGGCTATTATGGACCACAATGCACAAATAGTACACAGTTATTATTTCTGCAACCTACAAACGTGAGTGATGTTTCAGCGCGAGATGGTATCGATATTAAACTGATTGGTGCTTACTTCTACTTTTCTTCACTTACTAATGTTTTATGTCTGTTTCAATCATCTGTAACGTGGACTGTTGTAGCAAGTAGTGCAAATGTTTCAACGATAGTATGTGCACTATCGAATTACACAGAATATGAAGATGTCTACGTCTCACTCTCACTCGATAATGGCACTACATGGGTTAACAAATCATACGATTCGTGGAACTATTCTATTTCGATCCATATCAGCTGTCCAGCCAATGGCTCATGCCTTCGTGGAGAATGCCGTTTGGGTAGTTGTGAATGCCCAACAGGTTATACTGGATACCTTTGTGATCAATGTGACATTGGTTATTTCTTTATTATTTCAACTTTGTATAGCTGGCTTCGTGAATGTGTACCGTGCTCATTGTATTGTCAAAATAATGGAACCTGTGCCAATTCAACATGTATTTGTCAACATGGTTTTACTGATCAAATGTGTGATAAATGTCAAGAAAATCGATTTGGATCGCTCTGTTTACCATATCCAATAATTCAATCAATCGATCCACCCTCGATCAATGACATTGGTGGCACAAATTTAACACTTTATGGTTTAAATTTTAATTCAAGTGAATACATAGGTCTCCGATCTTGTAAGTTCTTTTCTGACATACAAAGCATAAATGCATCAATCACTGCAGCGATAATTGTGAATGACTCATTATTGATTTGTCTAACACCTCTCAATCTACTTGTTCCTACAATTAGATGGTTTCTTCGATTAGTGATAGATGGAAACGAGCAATATTATTCAACATTCAGCCTTCAGGTTTGATTCTTTTCTTCTTTGTATTTGTCTGAGTTACTCTTATGTATAGTACAGAAATAAAGAGAATATAATTCCCTTGGTTAAAGAAAAATTTATATGAAATAAAGTAAGTTTGTAGTCTTGTATGTTTGTATTGGAACCAAGGCGAAAGACCAAGGATTGAAGGTCAAATACCAAAGCACTATACGCCGTTCAATACTTTCCTCCAACAGACGACTATAATATGTAGATCTCGTCTAGTCATATTCTGAGGGACTAAAGTTTCAATCAATCTGGTGTTAAGGTACTAGTGTTTTAGCTATCCAGAGTTTCCAAGATTTCACTTTTGTTGAATGTGAGATGGATAAATTTTACAGCCGTTTCCGAACTTCTAGAACATCCTTTATATAGTAAGTAGAAACCTCGAAATGGTTTTGGACTATTTGTTCAGTTGATTAAGTAGACTGAATTTAGTTCTAGTAAATCAAATTGTAGTTTATTGTGACTTGTCATGTTGTGTAGTTATGGACAATAGTTTCCTTTATGCATCAAGTTGTGAATCGCATCGTTTTGAGCTGGAGTGATTTGAAACAACCTTGGTTATTTACATTTTAGGTGAACGGCACATGCCCAAATTTCACAAATTGCAGTGATCATGGATATTGTCAGTTCGGTCAATGTGTATGTACCTCTCCGTACTATGGATTGTCTTGCGAGCTAATGCCAGCTCCACTAATACTGAACCATTCACTGATCATTCTTATCAATGAATCCAGTTCGATTGGAATAAATTTAACGTCATATATTATTTCTGGAACTCCACCGTTTCAATACCAATTTCTGGATACTGGTGACACATATTCAGTTAATTTCTACTATAATTGTCTTTCCTTAGACGAATCATCTGGTTTATTAAATATAACTAGAGCAGTGGCTTCGTTGCAAAATTATACTTTTACTCTTTTGGTATCCAATAGTTTGGCAGCAACAAATGTGACGTTGATTATTGAAGTTCCACCTTCATATACTGCAACAGTATCTTGGAAAAAGTCTCATCAGTATCTTTCAGCTGGTACAAGTCAAATACTGGAATATTCTGGTAATTCAACGATGCCATACGTGCCAATATTGATTTGGATAGAAAATACTACGTCTATTCAACTAAATTCTGATAGTCAAGGCCATTTTAGTGGATTCTATTTACTTTCGAGTCGCTCGTTTGGAGGTCAATTGCACATTGCTGCTTCACATCCAGCTACAACTTCACCACCAGCATCGCAAGATATTATATTTATTGTCTACCTTCGACTGTCATTGTCTCAGTGGATTTATCGATTCTATGCAGGATATTCAACTAACTTGACTGACTTTGCTACTATTCGTAATGTGGGTGATTTCGACATGAACAATCTTACTATCAATTTGATACACAACACACCATGCATTCAAGAGTACTCGACGTGGCCATCATCTATATCTGTTCTACCAGCATTTTCAACTACAACAGTCTCATTGTCGATATTGCTCAATTGTTCACTGACATATGAATACATGAGCTTTTCTATAAATGAATCTCGATCATCTTCGTTAACGTCGTCGGGTTTTATCATCACTAGTCAATGGAGCTGTCGAGCTCGAAATGGCTGCAATAGTCATGGATCATGTGTCGATAACGAAACATGTTCTTGCACGAATTCATACTCTGGTGACTCATGCCAACAATGTGCATCGAATCGATTCGCATATCCTACTTGTATCACTTGTCCTGTATGTGTACGAGGCCAAGCCATATGCAACAATTCACATGCTTTCTGTGATTGCATTGACAACACTCGTATCTACGGTTCATTGTGTCAATATTGTCAAGAAGGCTATTATGGTGACAATTGTACGAAAATTCCCATCATTTTATCATTGTCACCTACATCGGGTCTTGAATTAGAAAATGAAACACGTGTCACACTCTATGGTGACAACTTTCAAAATGTCTCATCATTTTGTTTAATCACTGATCAAAATGGAACAACATCGATTCCAGCTACCTTCATTAGTTCTACACAGATGGTATGTACGTTTCCGTCTCATCCGGCTGAGTTAGTTCAAGTACAGCTACGTTTGAACAACTTCATCGTTTCTGAGATGACTACATTATTCTATCAATATTTGCTGAGTTGCCCATTAACTGGATGCAACCATGGATATTGTGTGCTTGGCACTTGTCGATGTCAATATCCGTATTTCGGTGTGAATTGCTCTTTACTTCCGATTCCACCCATTCTGACAACAATACCAGACGTAACTTTAATTGAAATGTCATCATTTAGTCTTAATCTTTCTAAATATCTAACTCAAGGTGATGCACCTCTTGATTGGTATCTTAGTGGAACTATCATTCCAGACCTATCTATCGATTCATATTCTGGACTATTGGCATGGCCATTAGCAGTTGCTTCATTCACTCCTTATAATATAACAGTGAATGTTCATCAAAGTTCGACTGATGTGATTATTCAACAAAGTTTTGCTATTAATGTGGACCTAGGCTACAATGTTACTGTTCGATTTCAAAACTCACAGCAAATTCTGACAAAAAAACCTATATTGGGAATCAACGGGCAGATTGTCAATAACTCAATTGGTCTTAACAATCGAATAGTGAAAGTATGGGTCCGTATAAATAATATTCGGCGATATCTTCCTACAATCACTGTTGTGGGGCAATCAAATCAATTTACAGCTTATTACACTCCGCTGACAAAAGAATACGGAACAGTCTTTCTAGGTGCCGAACATCCAGCTGATTCGTCGAGCAATGAACCTCAAGATTATCTTACATTACTAGGTTTGAATGTGCAAAGACTCAGTACTGGTACATTGAATATCATAGCGGGAGAAAATTTCACAAATACATTAGCGTCGGTTGTCCTACTTTCGAATCCATGCAACTATCCTATCGAAAATTTGACATTATCACTGGTCAGTCTTTTGACAGCTGTATCATTCTTCAACATATCATCACGTAACTGTAGTCTAAACCGTCTTTCTCCTTCGACTGCTTGCTCTATCGATCTCACTATCCGATTCAATGTAAGCGGTTCTGGTACTCTCGTGTTTGCATGGACTGCTAATGATATACAGCCAGTGACTCTTTCACTTCCAATCAATGTAATGTTTGAAAGAGCTGAATTCAAGTTAACTCCATCCTCGTCAAGTTTTATTCTGCCTCGCAAATCTCAAGACACCTTAACTATCACCATATACAATACGGGATCTCGTCGTCTTGGACCTTTAACAGTTCTTCTACCGGATCAAGCATATATCTCAGTGCTAACCTCGAATATTTCTACATTGATTGAATCAGCAAATGCTAGCTTCACTTTAGGAATTCTAATTCCTGATTCTGCACCATTGAGTACATTTACTATTCGAGGTTTCATTGTTGATCGCACTAATTCTCTTTCTCAAGCATTTCAAATTCAGCTTACAATTGTTGGAAGTAATGATACTTTGTTCGATCTGAACATTTTGTGTCAAGATGAGTTTTCCTACTTCGGCAGTAATACAACCAATCTTGCTAATGTAACAATCACGATAACGAATAGCCAACTCAATATCAAACATTTTCTTCGAAGTAATGAAACAGGACAAGTATCAGTATCACTTGTGCCTGGTATCTACGAAATAACAGCTCAAGCTTTAAAACACTCAAGTTATCGTGGCGTAATCAAAATCGATCGAGCAACAGCAACATCTAATACGTTAGTTATCATTCTTCAACGCATTCTTGTTTCATATGTATTCAAAGTCAGCAAAGTCTCGATAGACCAAACATATACCATAACTATGGACACTCAGTTTGTGACATACGTTCCAGCTCCTGTATTAGTGATTTCACCAGCTATGATAGATCTTGATGAATTGGAAGCGAATGAAAATATTAAACAGATCGACTTTACGTTCACCAACTATGGTCTTATTCGACTTTCAGATATCCGATTGACATTACCTGATGAACATCCCTACCTAAGATTCAATATTCGACAATTGCCGATTGGTGATATTGAAGGAAACTCTTCTATTATTGTTGCTGTCGATGTTTACCGTATTAACATGACTCGAAGAAAGCGTGCTTCACGAATTGCTTCAATGTTCGGATCTTTCATTGCTACCTATTTTTGTGGCGGAAAACGTACAGTCGGAGCATCATTGCCAGCTTTTATCAGCAAATATTTTCCACCTATTAGCATACCTGAGCCGAGTTCTAGTGGTAGCGTAAGTTGGAGTAGTGTTAGTAACAGTGTCATCGGTGGAGGTACTGGCGGTAGCGGTGGTGGCGCTGGTGGCACTGGCGGTTTCAGTAGTGGCGGTGGTGGTGGTGGCGGCGGTGGCGACAGCAGCAGTAGTGGCATTGGTACCGGCATTGATGGTGATGATAGTTACAGTGATAGCAGTGATGCTTTTAGTACTGATCTATCTCAGGCTATGGAAACTTTTGGGTCAATAATAGAGACATTATTCAATCCAATTTTGTCGAGTTCTACAACATGCGAGAGTTGTCTGGATACTTTCGTTGGAATTGCAGTCGACTTGCTAAAAAAAATTCCGGTTGTTGGCTCTCTTATTAATAAACTCGATAAGTGTCGTAAGTATGACTTTGTTTGATAAACCGCAGCGAAAATAGTACTCATAGAATGAGTTTGCCTTCAATCTTTTGTTTTAGTGGATTTTATAATGAATACGATGAAAAATACAATAGATTTGATTGATGGTACAGTTGAAGCTAGTATATGGAATATTATGAAAACTATAGGAACTGCATTTCTTGATGGGTTGGAATGTTTGCTAGCCGGAAATCCAGAATTAGGTAAATTGTTGGCAATAATTTCAAAACATTCTCGCGAGACCAAAGAGAAACCAAATTGGATAAACTGCTTAGCATTATGGCTTATACCAGAAATGACCCACAACAGTAGTTCATGGAACGAGAATGTGGATCCTGCGTTAGTACGACTCAATTTTATTGTTGAAGCGATGACTGGTTATCGAGAGATGATCAGTCTTATCTACGGCGATTCGGCTTGGTTTGATATAAACTGTGTTGATCGATCTTGGGAAGACGCACTGACTAGAGCGCAAGAACCAACCAGTGATTTGAACTATTTCATTAGTGCTCAAGAATACAATGAACTCATACTACTTCCACACCGATGTGCGAATCAGAGTCTAGTAAGCGATCGTCTTCTCTATTACAATCGAACAATATATTCGTATTCGGTGAATATAACTGAACCGAGTAGTTTAAATGGCACACCTTTCCTATTTATGAGTCTATCAACATTTGTAAATCGAAGTTCTCAATACGTGAGAGATTTAAATTATTCTCGATCACTGGGATATTCAAATTTATTTCATGCATATGTTGACATTTTTCAACAATACTATGATGCAAATAAAGATTCACCAGTAGGCATATGTGCGATAGTTACTATCCGCATTGTTCAGAATGTAACGATTGCTCGGCAAGGATTTGCTGCTGAACTAGCGATCGACAATAGCGGAGCAGATGTCTTGTATGATATTCAAGTCATTTTGGATATTCAAACAGAAAACCAATCCAATGCAAATGACAGATTAAGTCTTGGTCAAGCAGTGGTTAC